GACAATCAATACTGAAATTTCTTTGAATTTAAATGCTTCAAATAACAGAAAAAAATCATGCTGTGTCAGGATATTGCATCATGAGATTAAACGTAGAATATATTATAATATGTCGAAAGATGCAGCAAGTTATAGAGAACTTAACATGCTGACTCTTTAAATCTTAAGAGTCCAGTCCAGTCTGTAATTCTTATTTTTTTTTACAAAAAATTCTTCTTTTGCCGTGAACTTATCAGTCTCATCTAATCGTAAAGATTATCAATTTGATGAATATTCATATTATTTTATTAAAAAAACATATTCATAAGAATTGAACACAATTTTTATATTTAATCAAAGCTAAGCAATTTTTCTTTACATTCTTTGATCCATTTTTCTGATACAATTTCTGTGTCAGTTATTTATGAATTTATTTCCTGTTGAATTATTAATTTCTAGGATTGGTAAAGTTTTTTCAATTATATAGAAGGATATTATAAACCTTATAAAGAAAAATGCATTTTATTTTATATCAAGTTCATTTTTTAATTATTCATTCCTATATTTTACAATAGCATAGTTTGTTTTTTAATTTATAATCATTATTTGTTTTAAACAATACTAGAATGCATTGTTAAAAATATTATTATTTAAGAAATACCCAACTCTTCCATCTTTAAATGTTAAAATTGAAGTATTTCAGTGTACATCCTTCTTCCTGACACATTGAAAACTTTGCAATTGTCCTAATTTTAAAGTTTTGTTGTATTTACAGACTTCCATTAATTAGCTCAACAAATATATACTCTAGCCAAGATGTTTGTGACTTAAAATTACAATGAATTCGAGCAGAAATATTATTTCCGTAGGAAGTTATTATTACTATCATAGAATTTTTAAAAATTAAATCAAATTATTTCTAGAGCTTTTGAATTTTTTGTTCATGCTGACAATGTATTTTCTTCTTCTCTGCTAAATATTTAGAGAAAAATAGTTTTTAGTTAATAGTGTATTTGGTTAAATACAACTTGAAGGTGAAAAATAGAATAATTTATTTCACAACAAGGAAGCTTAAAGAGAAAAGCATCAGCCGCCACATGTTGAGTGACACCAAATGAATGAATTCTCATTTGTATTTGTAAATTTACTTCACTTGTGGTCAATTTCTAAATTCCCTAGTAAATTACTGTGTGTAATTCCATTGTAGTTAGTTCTATTGTATTTATCGAATTGATAGTCAACTTGTTCCGTCACAAGTTCATTTTAGTGTGTATATGCATTACAAGTATCAACGTAAGTGAAAATTTGTCATTGTAATAAACACACTTTGATTGTTTATTCATGTCAATCTGGTTTAGACAACAACTTCTCGGTATTTGCTCAATCATCGGTGTTAAGCAAATTTAATTTATTAAGTGGAGCTTGTTGGAAACTAAACTCTCAAACGTAACTAATAGTTTATTTGGTATAAAATTTGCACATCATGCTTTTCACACAAATCACAATTTTTTATTCAAATCAATTGCATTTTTTATCGTTTTTTCAGTAATAAATTTCCTATAAAAATATATGCTTATCTTTCGTGGGGTACATCAGAGCAGATGTTGAACAGACTGCAGAACTTCACTGACATTTACTGAGATAAATGAAAAATGGTAAAGTTCAATTGAGAGATATTTTTTAGTGAAATAAAAATTTTTTAATCTCAAAGTACTACAATTTTATTCTGACAACTTCACTTTACTGTAAAATACCTGTGCGTTTACTCAAAAATATTAAATTGTGAAACATCTGGAAATCGATATTCCATAAATGTGTAAATTTGAACGAATCATATTGATTAAAAAAGAAAAAGAAAATATTCTGATATTGAATTGCTGTACAATTCGATATATTATATATTACACACCATGTATATACGTGAAAATTATTTTTATACTTCTAAGAAAATGATTACATTGGCATGGTCGTAAAATAACTTTACTCCTAAGCTACTTTTTACCTTCAATTATTCGTTGAAGTTTCTAACACACGATCAGTAGTAGAAATATTACATGAAAAATATTACTTATAGAATATATCTAGAATATCAAATGAGAAAAAACCTCTTCTTTATTGCCAATATCTTCGTAGTAAATATAAGCGAGATAATTGAATTTTCTATTTTCTTGTCAATGCAAATTAAATCGTCACTTTCTCAAGATGATTAGTTGAATTAATTAACGCCTTACTAACCAATCTGTCAGCACTTAACGACAAAGAAAACATTGAGGGTGATTGTGAACTCGAAAATTCATTTAGGAGTAGAATCGAGAGTCTTCCTCGACTAATATTAGTTTAACGACACATAAATCTATTTTTAATTATTAAATTAAATTTTTTTTTCAACTTACTTATTATTAAATTTAATTCAAAGTTTCCGGTTTTTATAACAAGAAAATTGGTCTCCTGAATCTTTTAACTATTAATAATATTACAAATTTATTTAAGCTCAATATAATTTTTTATTGAATTTATCATTTAAATATGTTAACGGTTGAATTTTTTTATAGTACATCAAAGTCAATACTCTTTAAATTTCCAATCATTTTCATCTAACCTGAATAATATTTAACTGGAATGTAATTACTCTGCAATCAAAATATCTATCAATATTCATAGAAAAACTTTTAAAAAAAAATAAACAAAATCATCTCATCAGAAGTTTTTTCAATTACCCTGAACTTATATTCATGACTTAACAAAAAAGAAAATAGACACAATAAAAAATAATTATTCAAAATAACATCAGTTTACACTTGATAACAAATGTATTTTTTAGCAATGAATATAAATGTATTCCTAATATAAGCACAATGTTGGGAAATTTCTTTAAAAATTCTTTCTATTTCGTGCATTGAGTTCCGTACAAATAAACGAACGAAAATTCAACAACAGCCAGTAGCTGGCAGAAGCGATGAAACTATATTTTCACGATGTTGTCGAAAATGCTTGCAAGTGTACAGAAGAAATCGAATTTCTATTCAACTACCTTTGCAATCGGTTGCCGGATGCATTTTCTCTGTCACAATAAAGCTGAAATAATTCTGGTATTTGTAAGAATCATAAAATTATATGAATCGTTTTTATGTATTCAAATTTTAAATTCCTATTATTTAGAATTTTCACCACTAAATTAATTTCTGAGGCATCGATATTTCCAAGTAATGTTGAACATGGATACATAATTCAAAGAATACATTCTTCTATCTTTATCCCATCCATTCAATCCAAGATGGAATTCTTCTTTTCTAATCAAGTTAGGAAGCATTATAAAATTTTCCACATCAATCATAATCAAATTAGATACAGTGAAAGGACTAATTCTGTGAAAGCGTTTAATTGTTTTATAACATCTGTTCACGTTGTTTATTTGTATGATTTCTTTAATGCCATAGGAAATTGTCGAATTCACAATTCTATTTCGTTGAATGCTCAGCAAATGTAATAGAAACCTGACTATGGTTATCTCTATATATCTACTAAAAGCTTAACATCAATCTTCTTTAAATTTTCCCTCCAAACATTAATTAATTTTAAAAAACCAAAAGAAAATACTGTCCACTGATTATTTTCTCAATATGAGTACTTTTGTTGATGGAAAAATTAATGATATCCTAGATTGCAATTTTGTGTTAATTTTTTTTTTAAATAAAATCATTAATTATATTACTCTATAGAGTCATGTTTTAATTTAACAAAATTAATTGTCGATAAACATTGCTGATATTAAAAAAAAATCATGATTTGTAACATTTTAAATCTGTATTATTTTAATTCATGTAGAAATGAATTTTTTACATTATTCAAGGGAAAGAATAAATAGTTTAAAATTATATAGATCACAGTGTCTTTTGGCTGTATGAAAAAATTTGCATAGCATTTAAAAAAATTTTAGCTCTGCTTATCATAATACTTTTACGGTGAAGTGCCACATTGAGTGTCAAGTTGATCACATTACACGCATTCTCATTTACACTATGTGAGAGAGTTACCTGTAACCTAAACTACTACCCATATACTTACTTTATCATGAGCAAAACGGAAACTCTATCATGGGTCATTGGTACGGTGACCCATACGACACTCGACGTGTTAATATTCTAATAGCAGTAGTATAGTTATGCTGATCTAATTTTAAGTTTCTAAATTTATTCTCGATTAGCAGCACCTAAAAACAAACTAAAACAAAACCAGAGTTAAAAATGTTTTTTTTTTTTTTTCTCTTTTAATATGTATCCATTTTTTAATGTCCATCCTTCATTTCTGTACAGTGTTATAAATTTATACATTATTGTTAGAACACACATTACATAATTTTTTATGTTAACTATGAAAACTTGATGTGAATAAATTTATGATGACAAAATATTTACTATTACTACGTGTAATATGACTAGAATATTTTTTAAAAGCAACAAAGCAAAATATATATTGCATATATTTTTTTATGATTATAATTTTTTTTTTATTAAAGTGCTAATGTTTCTGTAAAATATTCAGTTGAAATGCACTTTTCTCTATTTAAAATTGACTGAACTCTAACGTGAAAAAAATAAAGTAAAGAATAATTATATAGCAATTAATTATCTATAAAATTATATGAGCAGAATCACTACAATAATTATATTATTCTTTAACGCTTAAAAGAAATTGTACCTCATAAAGTTATTGAGCGTAACAATATTGTAACAAGAATCATATGAATATTGATTGCAATAATTGCATGAGAAATACATATCCCTTAGAAAATATACTGCATGACTATACACATTACAATTTATGTGACTTTGTTATAATGACTTTGGTAATGAAATATATTGATATGGACTTTAGTGAGCCTGATCGATACAACAAGCAGCCTAGAAACAATGCCAAGAACCGCATGCAGCAAACTGCCTCTGTTTAGCACGAATATCTAAATTTCATGTATTTTTCGAATGTGACTCGAGTCTTAATCTCTTAAATCGGCCTTGTTGCAGGCACATACGCCACTTCTTGCAGCGGATCCGAGACATGTGAGTAAACCGCGAAACTAATCTTTTTTGTACCAACTACTCAGAGTAATTTCAATTTTTAATTATATTTTATTCGTTTATTTATCATGTTTTTATTTTATGTTACCTTTAAAAATTTTTGGATTTAAATATTCCTTTTCCTAGTTACATATTAAACATAATCTGATTTCAACTCGCGAATTTTTATTCACTCCTTTTATCACGCTAATCTCATTCAATCTTTCCAACTTTGAGATTTATTATTCTTCTGCGTTACTAAGTTGATTATATCACACTTGGAAAAATATTTTCATTAGGAATTTAAGTTATAAATTATAAAAGTTATATTCATAACTATTAACTATATCTAATAATTATATCAACATAATTAAAATTTATTATTATTATCATTGCTAATGAAGAAAAAAAAAATATTAAATGATAATAATTATATCGGATAATTATTTCCTATGAGCCGATATTAATTACGATTTGCTTTAATATCTTTCATTCATTATGTTTTGTGGTTTTATTTTTCATTATTCTAAATTTCTATCATTTTTTCATTATAAATTTCCGCCAATTTTTTATAATTATCGATTTTTGTTTCTTCAAATTCTCAAAGATTAACAATAAATGAAGTCGTATATTGAAAAAATATTCAATACTTTTAATTATTCGGAATATGAATATTCTCAAATGTTTTATTATCAATAAGAAAAATTAAAAGCCAATTGTGAATTCTTTCATTTAAATCTCATCTTGTTTACAATGCTGATAAGTAATTGGAATTACTCAGATCCAATTAGAATTTTTTTTTTATTATTATTATTATTGATTGCAAATAATTGATAGTAATTGTATGTTTTGTTAAGAATCACCTCCCCTGTGTCTCTTGATGATAAAAAATATTTCCTCTTGTTTACATTGATTACAAATATGTTAACATTGAGAATATATCTTCCAGTGAATACATATTTGAACTACTTATTTCCAATTGTGTATCCAATTCGAAATTTCCATTAATTATAATAATTAATCCACTCTTTTAATTTAATTTGATGTTAACTCATAGAATTCATATTATTGATGATTTATAGTAGGTAAAATAATAATATCGTTTAGATAGATTTGTTCTGAGTAATAACTCATATTGTCTTCATTGTTGTTTGTAGAAAGATTGAAAATCTGTCGATAAAAAGGATAACTAATTTTTTTATTGCTTGTACAATTGAACTAACGTTTTGTAAAGTGACCTAATCGGTTCTTGAACATTACAAGTCATTCACAATGTAATTATATCGTTCACTTGTGGTTTTATGATGTCATGATGGCTGTCAATTTCCTAATAATCCGGGCAGGACGTGTACCTAGTCTTGCATGTATATCATTTTGGTTGGCAAACACATACTTCCGTCGGTTCTCCCGTATCCCTACGAATTGGTAGGATTAGTTTGCTGACAGCTCCATACTCTAAATGCCATTGCTGTGAGGTATACAACGGATGTTGACAATTTCATCGGCTTAAATTGACTAGAATTGACAATCAATGCCATTTTAAAGAGGAAATATTACTTTTGTATTCTGATTCATGAAAAGAGAATTCAATTTTTTTTTTCTTCAACTCTCGTCATTTGTTTTTATATTATTCAAAAGTTATGTTTCAAGTAGAGTAAACATGAATTGCAATTTTGTAACTCACTGATAGATGCTAAAAACACTTGTGTTGAGTTCTAAAGTAAATAATTCTTTTTTTTTATTTCATTGGATCACCAACGACTTAAGTTTTTCAATCTATCGTAAAAAAGGAATTTCTATGCAAAATATTCTATCTAAAGTAATGAAATATACATCAAAGAACTATTGTTTTTTTTAGAGAGTCATGACAATCAAACTTGCAACAATAATCGTCAATATTTCATGACATTATCTGTTTTTGTTATCATCAAGTCCTAATTTATTTATCTCATTAAAATCCAGGTAAATTTTTTGTTAATTATTAATATTATTTATCTTCAAATATTTATTATTATTATTCAGGATAATTTTTCATTTAAATTGAAGTTTTAATTATTCACGTATATTTTTGGTCACAAATTTATCCTCATTATTAGAGATAAAATATCCTGCCAAATCAACAAAAAAATAAGGAAATTTAGACTTTTTAATGAATTGAAATAAATGAGAAAAGTTCAATTATTAATTCGACTGAAAAAATATTTTAACCAACTTTATTTGTATTATATTATATAATATTTATCCTTTATGATAACGCTTAAAATTAGCTGATGAAGACTTTTGATTTGTAATGTAATTGGTTAAAAACAAAATCAATTTTATTTAGATGATTTAGTTTAACAAGACGCACTTAAAATGTATATAAAACAACTACAAGATTTCTATAATTTGTTTATGGTAGTCACATTTCAATTTACAGTGTAGTCAAATAAGAAATCAATATTTTAAATAAATTATTTTCCTCCGAAATTGGACTATTTAAAAATTAGTTTGCTGATATGTTATTTAGATCGTTTCTCAATTAATTAAATTGTCCAAAGATAGTTTTTGGTATATTGAAAATTCATGTAAACGAAAACTAAGATGCGAACTATACTTCCTCGCACGTGCGCCAAATGAATTTCAATCAAGTGCATCGATCCGTGACAAATCGTAGCCACTGAGAATAAGTAGTCATTTTATCTTCTATAAACCATATAATTTACGAATGAAATTGGAGTAAATCAAAATTGGATAAACTATAATATTTCTATGAAGGAAATACAGGTGTACCATGTCATGACTTGTAGCAAATGTAATAGATATTTTGGTTAATGAAATTTGTGTTAAAGTACACTTATAAAACTTCTAAGAAAAAGCAGTAAACTTTTGGTTTATCGTTTCAGCAACTATTTTCTGGCTTTCGTTGAATTCTTTATTGGTGTAATTGACTAAAAGGATAAAGTAAGTGAATATAACATGAGGGTTAGCATGTGCCTCAATAAATTTCCAGATAAAACCAATTTATTTTGTCGTTCGTATTTGAAATGGTAATAGGAAAAAAAAAATTAATAACTAAATTCATATGATTTGTATGCGGCATTCGTTTTTAGAGAAAAAATAATCAAAAAACGCGTAAATTGAAGTTGTAGTCACGTACAGTCAATCGTTTCGATGCGAACAATTGTATCACCTTGTGTCGAGGCGTTTATCTCATTTCTCTCAACATTCTCAAAGAAAAAAATTCTAAAAAATCCGCGTCGAATAGAACAGAATTAATCCGACTCTTAAAGCACCGTAAATTTATTCTGATCCTGTATTCCACGTTGGTGTACACTTGCTCTTTTTATGCTTTTTTATTATTATTTTTTTTTTATTCGCTACGTTTAAAAAAGAGTGAAGTTGCAAGTGGAGACATACAAAGAAAACTTACCGTTATCCTGGTCACGTCTGTCTAGTTTTCTTTTAGTATTTTTTACAGCTTATTCTTCCACTTTCATCCACCACTATTTTAAGTTAAGATTAAAAAAAACAACTCTTTCACTTAGGATAAAGCAATATCGTCTTATTATAATCATACACGGAGAAAAAATTCCAATAAAAATTACCGTGCTCAGCACAACAATCCACGCGCAAATGTCAATTCCCTAAAAAATTAAGACAACCTTCAAAGAAAAATTAGTAATCCTTTTAAAATTTTTATTATAGATTCAATATTTATTAAGAAGAGTAAAAGTAAAAATTCTTATGCAGCACGGTAATATTCGATAAATATTAATTTTTATTCAAACTTTAAACAAAAATTAGTAAGTGACTAGAAAAAAATGAGAATCTGTATATAATTTATTATGATCCGTGTGGTAGGAAAAATTCGGGTGCTCTCCTATAATTTTTTCTATTCTCGAGAGTTTCCGTGCTGGGTCGGGAATCTTCGAATTATCGGTCCAACACAATCTTTCTTTGTATTGTAAGACCGTTCACACAATCAAAAACATAAGCCGTAAAACGTACAATTTAAGACGTACGCGTGCATACTAACATCATAATAAGTTAAAAATTGGTTTGTACGCATGCGTACATCTTACGGCTTTTGTTTTTGATTGTGTGAACACCCTCAGTGCTATAGTTACTTTTTCCATATTGTAAACAAAGATGACATTCATATTTTTCGTTACGATTCAATATTGGCGGCAACACGTTATATCTTAACAATTTATGATAAGCTTAAACGGATTGACGCGGTGGACTCATGGGTAAGCGTCAGCTTGACACACGGATGGGTCGCGGGTTCGAGTCCCGGCCGAGACAAAAGTCATTTATATGATTTTTCTCGGGCCACCGTGAGCGGGAGAGGAAGATCTCTTCGGAGAGCCGGGTGGTTGTATCGACGACACAGGTTTTCTGCGTAAGATCCCGATCGTAGGGATAGGGGGGGGGGCAGTATTGTAAAACGTGTGCCGTATTTCATTCCAACGAATTAATTAGTTAAGAAAGTTAATTATCAATGAACCTAATTTATTTATTTATTTGTTTATATAACCAAAAAAATTATCACTAAACTTAAATAAAATTGTTTGTCGGTTACGTAGTTATCACAGCTAACGTTACTAAATTTTCAGGTGCTGTGGAACACTAAATTTTCTGGTGCTGCCAAAGTAATTTTCAAAAAACTGAATGATACATTTTCTTATGTAACTTATAATTTTTGTATGTTGATCATTACTTTTTACTTTTCAGTAAGTTTGAACTCACATTCTTGAGCAGCACGGTAATTTTTGTATGGATTTTTAAATAAAAATTAACGGAATTTTTTCTCCGTGTAGCCATTTATTATCTCCGTAAATATCAACTTTTAATAATCAGACATCTGTGGTCGAATCCTTTTACTCAATTAAACCATTTTTTACAATAAAATTACCAATTTTGTTTAGCTTTTTTTTTTTTTTAATTATTTAGTTGGAATATTTTAAGTACAGTAATACCTCGACTTACGCGAATTCGGAGTTACGCGATCTAAAATTAGATACTAATTATTTCCTAAATTATTGTTTTATTTATTCTCCAGTCCCAATTAAACATACTTTGTATGTCTTTATATGCAAAATTGTACCCCGACTTACGCGGATAGCGCTCAGTCCCACCTATTGCGTAAGTCCGGGGTATTACTGTAATTCTTTAAGTTTAGAGTAATTTTTCATATGTGGGTAAAGATAGTAGACCATAGATAAGTATGTTCTGTTAAATACAAAGAGTGTCAGATGATAAGAAACAAGTTAAATTTTGATACAATGCATATGTAGTTCTGTTAAAGTGGCTTTTAATATGAAGATAACTAGAGAATAATCTCTTTCATCAAGCTTTAAAAAAAAGTCAAACGTTCTCTGTTTGACTATTTCCACTGTTTGATAGTTTTTGAATATTATTCAAGAAGTTAAGATAAATAAATTTGTTATACAAAAATTTTACTGGTTATTGAACCATCTTGTGGAGATAAAATTTTGATTCTTATCTACAGAATGTCAGATACTCTTAAAATCACTACATTCCACTCATTGCAAGAATGTTTGTTACTCTTCTTTCATCATGAATTTATTTTTTTTGTGATAAAAAATAATTTTTCTTTGTCATGATTCACACTTCAAATTCATTTCAAAAAATCAAAAATAGTTTTTATCAACCAAAGAACGTTTTAAATTAACCCATCTATACATTTTCTATCAATTTTTCTTATTTTAAAAAATCAATTAGAATGTCAATTTCTCCGAAATTTTTAAAAATAACAAAATTTATGCCTCTCTCTCTCTCTCTCTCTATTTGAAAGATTTTTCATTTTGTTACATTTTTTTATATCTTCTGAACGGATTTAAACAAAAGTCCAAAATATCTTATTGTTAATCCGTTACTTATTTCTTCCAATAAAAAGTATCAACACAAATCGATTATTTTTATACCATTTTCGGTTCAGATAAAAATAAATCTTCAAAAAAAAATATACTAGAAACAGGAAAGATGAAGTCCTTGATAAGAATGGAATTATAGAAAAGGAATTGTCTCCCTATCTTTTCTTATGAATACTCATTAGCAATCAATTTCAATGTTATATCGCACCAATTTATTTAAGATATAATACGACTAGAATTACGTAATCTCTAATTTTCTGAACTTGTTGTTCTGGAATACATAAATAAGTAATGTTGAATAACACAATAAGGGACTCGACATGCTCTAAATATCTTTTCCAGTTTCATTTGTTGGTATTACATATACAACATCCCGAGACATATACATCGTAAATGCAGCGAAATCTCTTAACTACGTTATTTCTTTAGAATATCGTCAAGAAAATGTACGACAATTAAAATGTAATCTCAGCTAGAAATGTATCTCTATTTTTGTTTATTATTTCTCATCATTCCGAAGCTAAGAATAATGACATAAAATTGACTAAATCTTTCATTTTATTTTTAATTTACAAACGTATTACTTTGGCTTTATATTGCATTGTTTTAAAAATAAATGACACTCGTAAATAATTGAGTATTCCAACTAAACTAGCCATTTTTAATCTAATTATCGTATATATCTTTCGTATTTATTGTGCAAATATTCATGAATTTTTCTTGATTGCAATGAGTATAAAATAAAGTTAAAACCAATATAGATGAAAATTCTACTATATAAAGAGTATAAAAACTTATTAAGTAGTAATAGAAAAATAAATCATAAACAAACGTCAATTAACTACCAATGAAACAGTATACATTTCAATATAACTGATAAGGTTTTATTTGGATAATGAATCCAATGTGTACTCGAATTCATCAATTATGTCTAATAAGATATTCATATATGAAACCATACATTTGGCATATATCACCATCGTATATATTCAGTATCAATTTATTCGATTGGCCAAATAAATTTACCAAAATAGATTTACTCAAGCAAACTATTGCTACACTTAAATTCTCTGCCAATGTAGAGCATTATTACAAATACGGACGATTTAGGAAAATTATGGTCTATTCCAATGAACACAACTAAGTTGGTTAAACATATTGACTATAAATTTTTTCTATGGCTCACAAACATTTTTTTCTTACGCAATTCTAAGTTGTTATAAAAATTCATTTGATTTCTAAAATAATAAAAAATTTTTAAAATTATTCATCAATATGAAGTTTTCAAATAGTTAACAAGTATGTATTAGTGAAAAATAAGTTTATTTGTTATCAATTGTATCCCTTTTCAACAGTATTTAAATATAGGAGAATTATTTTTAACAAAAGTAAATAATAATTTATCCATCCATCTATCTAATTATAAATAGATTTATTAGATACACTAATAATAAAATGACCATTTATTTTTGATAATAAACTATTTAAAGCACCCATTATGTATAAACATCTAAATTATCAAAAACCATTTAATTGAAAAAATTAAATGTTGATTATAACAATTTTTGAAGCTTTTTAAATGAACTATTTGCTTAAGCTACTCAAATTCAAACCAAAAAACAATTATCTATTTGGCGACAATACCGTCCATTTACCTCCTCGATTATTTAAAACGCCCGCATTGACGCTCACTTTACATAAAACAACCTACAAAGTAAAATAACCTTCCGCAAACAGTCAAAAATAAACCACGTTCCCAGGATGATGTAGCGACATTCGTGCTATGTATTCTGATAAGAACCACTACAAACTCTCCACGTATCTAGAAGAATAAAGAATTAGATCAAAAAGGCGAAAAGCCAAAATTCGCACGGGAATCGTTTAACGTGTGACAACTGCGTGCATATGACCGCAAAAGTTATTTCGGATACCACGTCGATGTGACAAGCAGTCGGTGACTACTATCCCCCTCGAGTATATTTTCATAGTCAGTTGAAAATAGTCAGTCCAACATATTCAGTCAACGTATCCACGCGTCGAGTCTTTCTCACTCCACAGATATATATACTAGTGTACTACAGTGATTTTAACTAAAACTTGTTTCACGTTTATTATTCAGAACAACAATATCTCTACTTTGGGTGACAACGAGTTTATAAAATTAAACACAGTTATACGAAAGTTTCATTTTACACAGTGTTCTTATTGCCTTGACAATGAACACAAATGTTCCAAGGAAATATTCTTTTCGTAGTGTTGTTGAGAAAGCAGTATCACAAAAATGGGTAAGGTCAAAGCTTTGATAAAATGATGGATAAAATAGAAATCCAAATTAAATCTAGTAGAGATATTATTTTGAAAAGAAAAAAATTAAATTTTTCAAAACTTGTTTTGGCTTAATTTTTAGAATTTAGCAATTATTGTTAACATTTACATAAAAAGGAAGAAATTTTAGATAATATTTTTATCGAAGCTTTGAACTTATCAGCGAGTAAACACCCTTTAGAGTTTTCCTCGTGCCTGATTTCGTGGCGTGTTGTGTAATGTGTAATATTTTATTTGATATTTATACTACATCTGTAATAAGCAGCATGAATACCATGTCATGGGATGTTGCGTGTGCTTATTTCAAATAGAACATACACATAGAAGCATTGTATGTTAGAGAGATGATGCTACTTCATTGACGATGATTGTTACAATCTGGACGTAGCACGAACCCAACTCAGGCAATGGTACATCATCTATATATATATATATACATTTACAACTAATAATTTTCAACTTGCTTCCCTCGCGGATGAAATTATTGTCGCAATTAATCGATAATCAGATGGTATGCAATTGCGTGTTATAAAAGTACCAACTATACTTCCGTCACATAATACATCCTTCAACTTACGTAGGAAAATCTTTTTAAATTATTAAGATAAAAAGTAATGTTCTTTTGTTGTTGCGATAAATTATTTTTGCAATTAACTGTTATTTAGTTAAATAAGCCAACGATTCTGAATATCACGATTGCAAAAATGTATTTAAACAATGTCAGAGATTCTATTAGTGTGATGAATATTAAAAGTGGAAAATTTCCAAGTGTTTTTATTTATTTTTAATTTTCCATATTATTTTATTCATCTTCTTTAAAAAATTTTTATTCATTGTAAAACGAATAGCTGCATTGAATAATTTTATTTACACTCACTACTAATTATACGGATAAATATCAGTTTTGTTGGTTAGAATTAATTTAGTAACTCTGAATAATTGTAGTATTCCACCGAATATTTAGAATAAAAATATTTTACTTGTCTTAAAAATACCTAGAAATATTCTATCAAGAGTTTTTTTTTTTATAATTATGTAATAATAATAAAATAATAAAGTGAGAATTATAATGCAAACAAATGTTAATAACGATTTAATGAATTTTAGGCAAATGGCGATGACGAATGGGAGTACGAGGAGATTATCCTTGAACGAGGAAGTGCCGGTTTGGGTTTCAGTATTGCTGGAGGAACAGATAATCCACACAGTGGTCACGACACAGCGATTTATATTACAAAACTCATACCAGGTGGAGCAGCTTCAACAGACGGTCGTTTAGGCGTTAATGATACGATACTTCAGGTGAACGATGTAACTGTTGTGGATGTACCTCATGCAACAGCAGTTGATGCTCTCAAGAAAGCAGGCAATACTGTCAAACTGGTAAGATTTTATATCCATATTAAATGTTTTATTCCTTTTACCTGCCTACGACCTTTTAATGTTTTTTCCCTTATCCTTTGCCACATTTTTCACTTTTTTGATTCGTGTGCTCATGGCTCCACATTAATATCTCTCTCAAAGAAAAGTTTCCCGACTTACGGAAGACTTCTCCTATCTGACATGAAATGAATGATGATGTCGTTTCACAAGTTTTTCTAAGACAAAAAATATTCTCAATGCTGGAATTATATATGATTTTTTTCATCCATTATGTTTTTAAGATTAATTAAGAAGTGTCGTTTATGTTCGCTATAATTAATGTTTAACGGTATTTTCCTCATTTTTTGGCCCTATTATTACTTCAACATGAATCATATCATCATCAACCCTAAATCTCTAGAATTGTCTAGAAGAATTTCTCATGTTCGAATTAATATAAAATGCATTTAAATTCAGAGATTATGAATTAAATGAACTGAAAAGTAATCAGGAAAAGTAAATAATGAATCTTTTTTCTTTCAACTGCTTTAGTATGAGATTAAGGATTTATCTGAAATTTCAGAAAATAAAGAACCGACTTTGTCCTAAAATCCTTGTAAAATATCTGAAAAGTAAGATAATAAGATTTTTCATCAAACTTTCCACTATAATTACAACGACTTTCAAATAGTCACATATTCGTTGGACTATATCCGGTTTCATTGAAGTTCAAGTCCTTCTCTGGTTTCTGCCTTTTTCTCATGCTTTTATTTGGGTTAGATCTTTTTCTCTTCCTCTCCCGGGAAAACGCGGCGTCTACTTCAAGCAACTCCTTTATCCTGGAGTTGTAAGTTTTTCTTCAGCTCTAAGAGTAACATTTCTGCTTGTCATGATGTTTAAAAGGAATGGCTGACGTAGCTATGAGTCGATACTTGGATTTTTGTGAATTAACTCATGTACAATATATCCTCACTTTTTGTGCAAAATTCAATTTTCTATCTTTCAATGTCTTCTAACATATTGCTCCAACTATTTCATTAATCCATTACTATAAACACGATATTGCTTTTCTATCAATTACGTATTGTATTCATTTTCTTCACTGGTATTTGTGGATAAATTACTTGTATTTTTTTTTAATTCAATAAAGTCATTTATCCTTCTATTTACTGATTCTTCAATTCTATTTAATTTATCGTTCATGATTAACTAGAAATTCGGTTTATAATTTAGTTACGTTAATTTATTATTGTCAATCAATCATAATTAAAATGATTAATTAAAATAATTTATTAGTTGAAAATTCTCTATCGATCATTGATTATTGATAGGATTAAATAATGTAATTTGTTTGAATATCATTTAATTAATCATTTGAATTTATCATGAATCTCAAAAAGATTCTTCAATCATTGCATCAGTAATAAATTAATTTTGTTATGAAAAATTAATGAAATATCGATTCACTAAAAAATCAATATCGAATAATATTGAATTCAGTAATAGCTTAATTAAAAATTTCTTTAATTTTTTATACCTTTCTAATTGTGTTTTAAATAGAATTTTATTATCTCAATAAAATTTTCAGCAAAGGATATCATTAAAAAAGATGATAATTATGTCTTATAAAAATATTAAATTGATCGCTTTTGTATAAACAAGAATAATTTTTCTATTATAAGCAAAGATGTAAACTTGATGTAAAATTAATCTCATTGTCATTGAAAATCTTGGTTTAAAATAACTTGCTTCCCTTATTAACTGTCTGATTGAGCAGATAATCAATTAAATTTTTCTACCTCAGTGTGCTCAAGGAAAAATATTTCAATATTCTATTTTTTTTCCTACTCTTTAATTTTTGCTTCTGAAATATTACAATGTCAATAATTAGCTCTTAGGTAAAAAAAGTTTATCCTCAAAAAAGATTCCTCCTTTATCAAGAACTGATAATATAATTCTTTATACGAATATTTAAGTCTACAAAATACCCAATTCTTCTCCATAATATCTATATTTTCATAATAATTTTTCTTTCTATCCACACAAAAGTTAATTTTTTTTATTAGCAAATTTTTACAACAGCTTTTATCTCATCTCATTATCTCTTTACAAAATCACTTAATTTGAAATAAAAAATGACAAATCTCTCAAGTTCACTTAAATCCAACATAAACTTAACTTCTTTGAAATTTAATCCTTGAAGATTTTTATTTTCATTCCTTATTTACTTCACTTTAAATATAACTTGGTTGCAAGAGCGGAATAAAGTACCTTAAGAAATAAGATTTACAAATGAATTAACTTTGACTTCACTTCTTCTTTCAACTCAAAAACTCAACATTTTTCATTTTAACTCATTTCTTTGTCAAACATTCAAAGAAATGTCTAGTGTGTTACTATGTAAATATCTTTTGTTTCAAATCACAAGTATATTAATTTTTTTATTTGTAATTGTAGTACGTTCGAAGACGACGACACTTGATTGAAATCGAGCTAGTAAAGGGGAATAAGAGTCTTGGATTCAGTATTGCTGGTGGAATTGGTAATCAACATATACCTGGTGACAATGGAATATACGTCACGAAAATTATGGATGGTGGAGCTGCACAACTTGATGGACGTTTAGCTGTTGGCGACAAATTAGTATCCGTCAAGAATAGCATGGTGAGATATTTGACCTTATCTTGTATGATTTTCATCACGTTATTATTATAGCAATTGAGATTTGGTATAACCTCGTTCTCAATCATAGATTTAAATGAATTTAAATAGTCTTGCCATAAATGCTGACCAAAGAATTTTATTGCTCTATGGTACTGAATGAAAATGACAATTAATACGATATCTAATCTTTTTAATTGCATAGTTAATATTTTATAGCTCAAAAAACAATGAATCAAATACACGTATACATTGACTTTTTTTATAATGAATATTATTTCATAGAAAAAAGTGTCGTAATATTGAATGAGTTTAACAAGTTTAAAGTTTTTGTATTGTATTGTTTAAAACAATTACTGTAAAAATAAATATTTTAATAGATTTTTAAGTAGTAATAAACGTCAAATCATAAATTGCATTATAAAATATGTTTTAGGTTCAAGTTATTGTTTTATTTTTATTTAAATTTGAAGTTTGAATGTTTTAAATAATTATTCCTGACATATTAGGAGTCACCAAATACCCAAGTGATGAAAATAAATACTAATATTATTTAACATTAAATAAATTTGTTAAAGAATAGTGGAAAAAAATAGTTTTATTTCAATTTTTCAATAGCTAAATTTTTTATTTTTTAAAATGATCATTGTTGATGATTGTCGTTAGTAAAAATTACGAAAAAATATTTAAAAGACATAAATATTAAGTTGAGATAAAGAGCGTGCTGTTACAAACTATCTCATCACATCGTACGAACTTTGAAACGTATTTTACTCTGTACATAGTCTTTTAAGTGACCGCAACAAATGGTTGGTTAAGTGTGGATGAGAAAAATAGATTAGGTTGAAGAGTTGAGGGTTTTTCAAATAATTTATAGCTTTACTTGTCTGCCGTATACAACATCTACACTACTTGAAAGCCTTTTCGCGATTTTCTACTTTGACGATTTCCTCACGTATTTCAGTTTGCGCAATAGAACTATTTGTCTTGGTCATCCCTTTGGGGATCTAAAAAGAAATGAAGAAATGAAAGTACGAATATCCCCGTGAAATGATGGTGAAAAAATCCATTATTTTGGCTTTATATATGTATGCTAGACGAACTCTTAAATAAATATTCCGTTAAGTTTCTTTCAATTTAAATTGATTTAGAAAGATAAATTTGATAGAAAATTCTGTCGATAATTTTACTTTGAATAAATAACATTTATCCTATTTTTCTATTGTTTTAAATTCTCAACAGGACAAAAAGAACGGAAAAGAAAAAAAGGATAATTAACTTTAAAAGTTTTTGAAAAAGGTTTCTGCATCGTTGAGTTTATAGTTACACATTTATGTCGAACAAAAAACAACAACTTATGCTTCTTTTTTTTTTCTTAATATTATAGCTATACTAACGACATCACAATAATGACCGTTAGTATACGTTGGTGTTTTCAGTGCTTGCCAAAACCAACTTCCTACTTCAACACTGAAGCTATAAGAAAAGCCATTATCTACCCTTCCTGTTTCTTACAACTTAAACTATATAGCTCAGACGATATTGTCCAAACAATTCTTATGGCTTACAAAATAATTGGCTATGCTAATTAGTTTTGAATAACTTGGAGGCAAGAATAATCTCAGTTATTAATTCACTTCATTTTTTTTTTCTTTCTTGCCGGAAAAACAATTACTTTAGGGGGGAAAAAGTTCCATTTATGTGCAATAACTTTTCATATTTTTCCAATATTTTTTTCTTCAGTAACCCTCTAACGATATGTAATGAAATAAATTATAATTAATTAAAATAATGAAGCAAAAATTATTCTTATGCTATTAAATGATTTCAATTTAGTTAATTTTTTTTATTAGTATTCTTTAATGGAATTCATGGTTTTAGTTGTGATATGAACTTTTCAAAAATCTCCGTGAAAACAGCTTTTAAAATATTCAAATAGAAGAATTGACCCATGACTTCTTGTAGTAAAAAAATGTTTGTCTGAAGATTCTTCTCAAGATCTTTTATTTGCCGTGTGTTTCACATGTTTCCTATCGAATCAGTTTGTTTGCAAAAAAATGCTGATGGTGCATTCATGACATACGGTGGTAAACGTGTTAAACGAGATTTATTAGATTAAAACAAATGATATTAACTGTAAACATACTAAATTTTCACATGCATACAATGTAAGCTAAACAAGATATTTTGGCGATAAATATACCAAATCTCACATTAACTTGATCTAGATACATTACACCACATAAATACTTTCATTCTTATTCTAATAACAACATTTAATATTCCTTGACAGTAAATTTAATCTTCTCTAATGTGTTCACACATTCATTTTAACCATCAACTTTTATGTTTTTTTTTTCTATTATCCTCTATTTATTTTCATCGTTATTTTCAATTACTATCATTATGAATAATATGTGAAATTATCGTGAAAACGACTTATTGTTTCACTTAAAATGTAAATATTCCGTGTAAGATGAAAAAATAAATTCCCAGAGGTTTCATCAACAATGTATCTACCTCTAGTCAGTATTTAGAACATCCATCATGATTTAACCAGAAGTGTTATCAATGCATTATGTTGTTGCATAATTTCTGTCATGTTTCGTGTACCCGTCTTGCTTATCTCGCGACAGAAATTATGCAAGAATAATTATAAACGTGAGAGACGTATCTTCAAACCATTTAAAAATTGGACAATCTTCATAATATCTAAATAAGTTTTTTCCTGAAGTCATTGGCAACAATCATTTATTCCATATCTTTTCTTAAAAATATTCTATCAAAATCGGAATACATTTTTTAATTTATAATTCATCATTTCTTGAATATAGAAGACATTATATTTATTTTTCTCATACATAATCTGCGACTGATTATTTTGTTATAGGTATGGATTGACTTTATTATATTTAAGAATTTTTATTAACAGAAATTAAAACCGTTGTCTAAAACTATTATTTTGAACAGAATTATAATACAATAAATTTTGTTTGAAAAGTTTGATCATCAATCAAAGTATTTAGATATAATTTGATGAAAAGAATGTTTTTTCTTCAATATCAGAGATTTTATTCTTAGTATCAACTAATTTATCAAAATACATAAAATATTGTTTGAGTTTTGACTGCTTAGTCAGCATATAAATTAATTTCTGTACCAAAGTAATTTATCAGACCCTAAACTTTTCTAAGATCAGGCCAAATATTGTATTTTTAAAAATAGTTTGTGAATAAGAATAATAAATTAAACTGTTTTTTCTTTCTTTTCTTCCAAAGGGTAACTGGAAAAAGCTGGAGAATGTAACGCATGAGGATGCAGTGGCCACTCTAAAAGCGACGCAGGATAGGGTAGTTTTGTTGGTCGCCAGACCGGAAGGTATTCTGCCACCTCTGCCACCAGTTTCAGACCATTCACTCTCACCACAACCTCGTAAGTGGTCGTTAGGTCTTTGCTTTGGCTATCATACAACCCAATATGATACCACAGTACAATCTATACACGTTTTAAAAATTTTTATGCTCATGTTCAAAACTAACAACCTTCGTCTTCCGTTCAATAAAATCCTTGTGGTAGATCTGACGTAAGAGAAAGACCTTGGCACAAGTACCAATTCTCTTTTGTTAGTAATTCCAAGCGTAAGAGACGGAAATCCTTCCTATCCTTATATTTTCATGAAAGATGATAGTTTCTGACTTACCAAATAACATTTTTCATTAAACATGAATTAAAGAAGATGAATTCAACCTAATAAAATAATCAATAATAAATAATATACTATAAATTTTTTTCTTTAAATAGCTAAAAGCTTATATTGATTGAGAATATGATTTTTAGTGATGTAATTCTCTCACAGAATGTAATTTCTTTATTTATTTTATTACAGTTTTTTTATCATATATAAAATGTTTTTCTATTAATGAAAAATATTTTAAATATCCATCTACTATCATGTTCATGTGCATTTCAATTACTCAGTTTACGACCTGCATTTTTTTATTCATTTTGAGCGATCCTATTATTACCTCAAGTAAATATTAATATTCAATTGTGTGAGAGAACTTTTACAACTTGGACATTCAATTATATCTTCTTTATTCGTTTTTTATCATTGCATTGTACAGAATAAATAAAACCACCAATTAAGTGCTTAAAAGTCACGATTCCATTTACAAAATGGAGTGTTAATCCTCATCCCTATTAATAATACAGTCTTGGTTTATGATATCATTTATTTTTCAGTAAATATAGAAAGTTAAGGATTAATGTTCAGAAAAAAATTGCTCCTAACACTCTGAGCTATTATTTCATTTCTACAAACATAGAAATTATTATTAAGAAAAAAAAACTTTTCTGCTTACTTTGCCCATGACTGAGCTAAAGTGACTTTGGCACTATAATTGACAATTATTTTAATGGAAATATTTTTTATTTGTCTAAATATATACTTTTTTTTTGACTAAAATAGTATTTAATTTAACAGGCAAACAAAATGGCTCGGTCTCAGCACTAGAAAACAATTCCATACCGTATTCACAAGAGTCACGACATGCTTCTTCGTTGGCACTTCACGGCACAGCAACACCTCGAGCAGTGTCACAGGAAGATATTTCACGGTAAGTAGAGAAATAAAATTAAGTCGTTAAATAATTCTAAGCTGCTTTATTTTATTTAAAAAAGGATTTTATATTAAATCTGTCATAAAAAATACGTATCTTCAAATCGCACAAATTTCAACAGTATTTTCTCTTTTATTGACTTATTTGATTCCATTAAATTATTTATATAGCAAATAAACTCAAGGTACTCTATTTACATTCTGAATTTAAATACTATATCATACAATAATAAGTTTAGTCAGTTGAGTAGTTAATTCTCTAGTAGACAGACGTGCATCACTAGCAAGATAGACTGGACATGAGAAGGGTAGGTTGGAATTATACTAGCTACTGCTCGAGCTAATTGCCAATGGATTAAGGGGTTTATCGAATAGAACAGGCATTGGATCGGATACAATGTACATTGAATGATCATCAACCAGACTGTACTCTCTAACTGACCTATTCTTCGATATTTAACCATGTTTGAATAATATTCGATTAGAATTTTTACAATTCAATAATTCAGAAAGAAAATCAACTAAATGCACAAAATATTATGAGTAATTCTATTTTTTTTTCGGTTGAACTTGCGTGTTACTCATGTCGTGGATATTTGAACATATGAAAATGCACTATTGACCAGCATTGGAAAAAATTTGCATTATTGTAAAGAGAAAACAATTGTCATTCGTGTTTGATATAAATTTGTTTTTTATATTACATTTTTATTTGTTAAATAATGCAAATATTTCATTTATGCTAAATGTTAAGTATTTTTGTTCAAAGAAATATTTATTATATTATTTACAAAAAATTTTATTATTTTAGTATTAATGAGCAGTTTTTAATATAACTCCTATATGAAGCATTGAATTTTATTCAAGAGAAAATCTTAGTGGGATTTTTGTTTGGTAGCAACGTAATGCAAAACTCTAATTTTTACAATGCTTTTTAGCTCAGAAATTAATGTTAATTTTTTTCAGTAATTTAGTGTAACCATTTTGTAAAGAATACTTTTAGCTTTTAAATAGTTTCTCAGGGATTATTTAGTGATCATTTTTTTGGAAGTAAAAAACATTCAAAGCCCAAAGTGAGCTTTTTACTGTTAAAGCTTATATCTCAAGAGAAAATAATCGCAAAAGACATATTTTGAAAAAAATTCTTTTTTTCAAAGAAACAAAAAAGCCTTCGAATATATTATTTAGATTTTAAGAAAATTTTCAAGTTAACATTAACGTTTCAACTTAAAGAATAAGTTGTAACCTATGCTAAGCTTGTATTATTTTCATTTTGTACTTTGAACCTTTTCCAATTTTCCAATTGCTATTTTTTAATCACTTTTGCTTTTAGTATGCTTTGAAAGCATTAAAAAATCTTCATCAATAGAAAATAATATTTGAAATATCAGTTCAGATAGGGTATCTATATGTTTATCACTGAATGAATGAGATCAATAGGAGATTTCAGGTCAATATTTTTATTTAGAAAACTAAATATATTAGAGGTTTTTCGACTCATTAGAGTTGAATAATTCTTTTCAATAAAATATCATTATTGAAAGAAATTCATGAAAACTTTTTTCTCTTCTATTTGTTGTAAAAACTTTCGTAAGTTACGAATTATCTAAAGAATCTATCACATTCTTCCAATCATTAACTATGATTTTCTTGACATTTTGATAACTTTTTCCAATAGAAAATAACCAAAAAAATTACAACAGTCTTTCTCTAGAATATTGGATAATTAACCATCTAAATTCAGTCTTAAATCTGGAAAGAGTAGGTAAAGATGGTAAAAGTAGAGAAAATTACAACAGAATAATAGTTGAGGAGAGTAAGAGTAGTTTAGGTGGAGTAGAAATTAAAGTTTTTTGCATGCTTTTATACCGTGATGACCGTGCGAGTGCAGCTATAACTCTTGTCGAGTTGTCGTGCCACTAGCAGACTATAGGGTACGTCGAAAATTATTCGTCTTAGTGACTCTTTTTGCACAAGTTTCTTTCTTATATTCATGCTAAAAGGCTTGAATATAAAATTTTCTTCTGAAAAATTTTTATCGAGGTAATAAGAAACGGAAAGAATAAAGTCTTCTAAGTGAGCGTGAAATTGGTAGAAAAAATTTCACTTGTACTTTTGAGCATTGTAAAAATTATTATACGGAAATTTTTTTTTACATCTTATTCATTTTTTCTATGTAAAAATATTTTTTTCATCATTAAAAATCACTTAAAAAACACCTTTTCATCTATTCACATCACTTTTAAACATAAAGTGAAAATAATAAAAAATTAACATTTGCATTCCACGTTTAATTAAAGTAAAATATTCTCGAGTCACGAGAAAATTCATTTAAAACAATTTTTCTACTAAATTTACTTTGATGCACATTTTACAACAACTGAAATTTAAGTAATAAAAATATTCTTGAAAAAGTCTTAGCATTATATATTTTACGAGTAAGACTTATAATAATGAATTATGTAAACTATAAAAATTCTTCATAAGGTCATTGGCATACATTATGTATGTTTCATCTCTTTTATGTTTTTCTAAATATTAAAGATTAAATGAAAAGTTGAGTTCCCTTAACGTAAACGTTTTAATTATAAGCAGTGAATCTATCAGCAGGTACCACAGACATTTCATATGCTATTAGAACCATCGTAAATCTTACCAGCATACCACCTACGTTTAATAGCAGAAGGCAACCAGGTATTCGTATATCATCTGAAGTGCGGACAAGCCGTTTAAAATGAAGTTTCTAACCATCCACAAATATATTACTCTATCACTTTTACCAATTAATGACATTCTCATGAAACTATACAATTCTACGATAATTACTTTAATTTAATCAATATTTTATACTTAATTTAAGCTCACTCTTTTAAGACTTTTCTTATTCTTTATTCATTTTTACCAATTTACTCTAGACACTTTATTTGACATGCTTATTTTCAAAAACTAAAGCTATCATTTCTCAAAGTTTAATGTAAAAAATGTTTTATCTTCGAAAAGTCAATGTGTGCTTAAAAAATTCAAATAATATTTGTTTTTAAAATACCTTTAATTTTTTATGCATACTTTATACTGAAAATTCCACCCAATGATTATACATTAAATAGAATTGTGTGCAAATTTTGTTGAACTGTATCAAGTCTAGCTGAAGCTATTCGCATTTTGTGGGACGCCCTTTTCAAATAATACTTCACGATGACCACTCCTCTATTCTTAACTGTTTCATCTCAGATCCATGTAGCAAAAAACTGTCTTCACTTCAACACTCTATAATGTTCTTGTCATCCAAGTACTTTAAATACAAAAAATATTTTTTAACAAACCAAGGGCATTTAAAACTTTATCTATTGATTTGGAAAATATAGCTTTTCTAACTTGATCATGAAAACAAGTACAAGATGGATATTGAAACCTTGAAATAAGCAGAAGTTTCTCGTGTAGGAGACAATAGATAAATTTTATCTAAATGGATCCACTAAATTTGATTCAAAAATTTTTCCAATAAATTATGATATTGTTATTTGTTCCATCTTTTCTTTTTTAGAAAAAGTTGACCTACTTTTGATTTCTCACAGAAACGAATTTTCAAAATTGAAAAATAAATGAACTACCTAATTCGTTAGTTCTATATAAAATGATTATAGATATTTACAATCAAAAAATAGGCAATCGCTTTATTATTATTCATAATAGTTGGAAAAAAAAAAAATTCAAGGACCAGACATCTGTAAATTTAGATGATTAAATTTTTATCAATGAAAATTATGAGAGCTCAATGGTTACTTGAAGTTGTAAATTGTTCCAATAAAGATATTTCAACTTTACTTGCTCTTAGTTTTAGCATGTGGATATATGTACAAAAGTTTTATATATACATAAGTCATCCTAGATGCGAAAATTCTTGGCACTGCAGTAGAAGTTCATTCGACTATATAATGTAACTTTCAAATACAGGCCAGGGTCAGACTGCATGTATGAATGTCATAAAAAAGGAAAAAATAACAAAAACAATGCATTTAATTATATAACTAATTTAACTGGATGACAATAGTTACACAATAAATTATCAATTATTACTGTTCATAACACTATGTAAATTCATTGTTTGCCATAAGAAATAAATTTACTATTATTATTATTTCTTTTGTCTTATATGAAAAATAAAAAGAACTTTAGGTGATTTATAAATGTAAAAAATTTCATTTTACGTTGAAAGAGAGTATTATCCAAACGTTTTCAGATATAAAAAAATTCTCACAGATAGTGAGGTCACAAAAGACAATAAAACATATCCACATGAAATGATTTATAGAATTTCTAATTCCTCACCCTTTATCTAATCACATTGTATGTCATTTACCCATGAATAAAGAACGTTATTTTTTTTTTTCACGGTGAGGAAATTTTCTTTGCTTCTAAAACTTATGGCGCTACTGTACGTAGTTGAGCAACACTTTTAGATTTTCAAGAAAAATATTTAATTTTTTTTTTAATTTTTATTTTAGCTTCATTCTTATAAAACTCTTACTAGTAGGCTAAATTTTAAGATTTCTTATCCAGAGTTTTTTATAGGATTCTTATCTTTAAAAATTTTTCTACATTTTCTAATTTTAGTTATAAAAAGTTCATCAAAAAAAAAAAATTATCAATAATGTTAATATAAATTTTTCTTGATGAATCGTTTTTATTGATTTACAAAACTTTATTTTCAAAGTTAATCAAAGTTTAGTTTTATGTATTCACTCACACGTTCCTATAAAATGATCAACTACGTGATGAAGAAAATAGCTAACCTTTGAATTTCAAAGTTTGCAACCTAATCGAAGAATAAAAGTTTGTTACTCTTGGAAGTAAGCTCTCGTTCAGGTATTTTCCATAGATTTACATATATTTACACAAGACATTACTTGATGTTGACGCAGTAACACTGTGAATATGAATGATTTGATGGGAAAAATATTTACAGTTTAATGATAGGAAGTAGTCAATGAATACTAT